CAGGTCGCGCGCAAGCCGCGCCAGGTCGCGCCAGGCCAGCCAGACCGGTGCCCAGGGGGACCAACTTGGTAAGTTGTTGCCTGGGGGCTTGCCTAGTTGTCACGAGGTGCCACGTATCGCAACTTCACTGGAGGGCCAAATCTGCCCTCATCAGCATTCAAACATAATAACCTCATAAGGTACCTTCTTTTACTCATAGTCAACCACATTTGACTTCGGATATTGCAGCAACTCTTTGCTGAAGCTTTTCAAGAAGGACACATGGAAGGATACTTCAAGTTGAGCCCTTTCTATCAAACACAATCTGAACCTGCATATTGTGGACTTGCCAGCTTGTCCATGGTCTTGAATGCCCTCGGAATTGATCCTGGAAGAAAATGGAAAGGTAAGTTTAGTTTTTAAACCTATTAAATTGTATTAATGTTGATTGTTTTAAGTGTCTCTCAATGCAACAAGCAAGGTTTAAGGTTCCTGAGAATAACAGCCAACCAGAAGGGGAATTATAACATTTATATCCCCTTTGAGTAGATGAATATTCAAGAAAGACACACTAGATTTAGGATCAATTTTGACTTTGTGATGCAGCACAGTGAAAACCCAAGTATGTAACTTGAGCATGGTTGGATATGTAACTAGGATTTTGGGAGAGTAGAGGGATGAGCCACACAACTTTAATTCCAGATTGGAGTCACATCTCTAAGAAAATAATGGAGTCTCACCACCAAATTTTTCTCTTTTTTTGTTTTTTTTGATAAATGATCTCACCACCAAGTTACAAAGTGCTGAATTGATTCATTTCTGAAAATAGATTAGTACATTCCTTTATATAGGCAAGCCTTCTTGTTAGTGAGGGAAACTAGCATTAAAACTTAATTACTACTTTCTAACTAATTCTCCTAGAAATTGTAGCTTTAATTCTCCATACATTTCTTAGGTGATCATCAATTTTTTACTCATTCACTTTCAACTGACATATTCAATTTGGATCCATTTCCTTCAGTTGCTTAGAAGTTTTTGGATCCTCTCCAATGGGTTTCTATTATTTTCTGTTCTTTTGTTCCATAGAAAAGATCATTGGGAGCTTCTTCTTCTAAAGTAGGGGCTCCGCCCCTGCTTCTTTCCTCCTCCTCCTCCTCTTCTTTCTAGAACAAAAAACAAAGGTCTGTTTCTTTTTCTCGAAGAAAGATAGGGGTTTTGCCCTTTTGTTATTTTTATTTCAATTGCAAAAATAGGGGTTCATCCTCTTTTTATTTTATTTTTCTTTTAGACATTAAGTGACACCTAGGCGACAAGGTGACTAAACGCTCCCCTGAACCTAGGCGTCTTGAAAACTATGGAAGGGGGTAGATTCAAAGAATGTGGATCTTTGGACACATACATTTTTCCAGAGCAAGGGCATAACAGTGGCATCTTTTTTGGATTGAAGAATATCCCAAGAAGACACTTGATAGCAAGTATGCCTAGTCGCAAAGGAACTAGCAATTTGTGAGTTCAATATGAGAGAGGTGGTTGGAGGTTCTTAATAGAAGTTTGGTCGGTCATTTCGTTAATGCTGAACCAGATGTGGAAGACGTTTGGACTTGGGCAGCCATTGAATGGAAACCGAGAAGTCACTTCCAAGTGAGAAGACTTGATGTGGGTTTCTTCCTTTTTTCCTTTAGCTATGAAGTTAAAGCTCTTGACGTTCTTAATCATGACGAATAAAAGCGTTATTACCTAGATTTAAGGTTGGGGAGATGGAACCCTCTTGTTGGGGCTTTGAGAAATCAGGGGCTGTCAAGTTTCATTTTGATAAATGTATATGGCATTCCACTACATGCCTGGAGTTTTCAAACATTCAAGGTAGTTGGAGACGCTTGTGGAAGTTTTAGGTTCGATCATTTAAGGACCATCGACTAGAAGGAACGTCGCCTATGCTCCTATCCTTGTTGAGGTGGAGAAAATCCATCTTGTTCCAACCTCTTTGTTGCTCCATTTCGGAGAACTGTATGATGTTAGAGTGGTGGTGGAAGGGTCCTACCCTGGGAGTTGGTTAGCCAATTTGGATTGGTGGAGGGAGGAGTGGAGCGCTCCTCTTTCGACTGGCTCAAAGTTACAAAAGTCGAACGGGCTCCAAGCTGAGGTCGAGCCAGAGGTTGATGGAGAGGGCACTTCGGGAATAAACCAAACTAATTGATAAAAGTGGGTTCGATGAGTTGGGGCTGATCAACTTTCGAGATCTTGGGAAGGTGAAGAGAGGCGAATCAGGGGAGTTTTTGAAAGAGGTCTTGAGTCTTGAGTGGTGGGGCCCACTTGAGGTTGAGAGAAGTAAACAAGGGAGGCCCTTTTGATTCAGCCTTTAATGTTGAAGGGGGCAGGGCTGAAATAGGACACCTGGTAGTAGTCCAAGAGCAAAAAGAGTTAGGGTCTAACAAAGGTAGTAATCATTAATCAGGTATACTCGATGTTGATTGAGGAGTGGCCCATCGTTTCCTCTAGGGCCCATTTTCGAAAGCCCAAAAATCAACCTGGATTATTGGGTTTAAAATGCAATAGAAGGAGCTTTTTCCCTTTTAAATGGTCAGAAGGTTCCATGTGGAGGAGTCTGAACAAAATCTCCTCAAACAAATTCAAAAGAAGAACTGGAGATCGATGGGAGTTGGTGAACTTCAAATACGGGAAAGGGTAAGTAGACACTTTGGTGAAAATATCGATGAGAAGCACAGAAACCAATGCTGCCTGGATCTCCAACGTAAAAGAGAACACTTTGGTAGGTTGCGATCAATCTGTGGAGGGAGATGAAGCTTCGATACAGAAGGAAGATGATGCCTCTATGTTGTTGGACTTTGATCAGACGAAGAAAGCCTTGACCAGGAGGGAGTTTATGGAGTAACGATGGAGGAGTTATTAGTGGTTCACTACTCCAGGCTGAACAAAACAACTCTGATAGATGGCTATATGAGGAAGTGAAGGTTGGAAGATTAGGTGAGGATCTAGGACGAATAAGGGTGACAGAGAATGCGACAATTAACTCAGTTGAAGAGAGTCACAAGAAACCACGTGGGGCTAGGAATTCACACATTGTTCATGTAACCAAGGTCTTCTCTCATTTGAAGTTGGGTTTGTTGGGGGTAGGACCTACAAAAAATTACAAAAAGTACTACGAAAGAGAAGGAAGGCATTGGTAGCTCCATGCCCGGAAGAGGATGGTAATACGAACACGAGGTTTCTTATAATTTCGATCTCTCAGGCTGGAATAGTCCATCACGAAAAAGAAATTGATTCTGCTGACAATGCTGAAGTAAGTGATCACGTTTGAAGCCTAGAAAAGGAGGAGAGGTTCAAAAGAGTCCCTAACTCCCCATCGAGGAAGTTGTGGAGAGAGAAGTCGAAATAGGTAAAAGTTCTGTTCTATGCTTTGGGTGGGGGGGGGCGAGGAATTTGCCAAGAGGGCCTTTGAGGAGTTTGAGAGAAAGAGGACAAAAGAGAGGCTGAAGAAATTGGAAGCTAGAGAAAGAGGAGGCAAGTGGGATGAAGAAGATGATGGGCAAGAGGAAAGTTTTGAGGAAGAGGATTAGGAAGCCTTGGCGTTTGGGCTTTGCTTCAGGGCCATTCGATTAGGAGCAGGGTGTAGGTGGTCATCTTGGAGCCTTTTTTTCTTTGTTTTGAATATTTTTGGTATGTCATTGTCTTTGGGTGTTTTTGTCTTTTAGTGTTTGTTTTTTCTCTTGGGTGATTTCTTGTCACCTTTCTCTCTATATTCTCTTTTTATTTTAATGAATTTTCTTTGATCCTTAAAAAAAGACATACTTGATAGATTTTGGATCAAATTTCAACCTAGAAGGACTTGTGTCATGGACGAAGTAGACACACCCAAAGAAAGAAGCTAATGAGGAGACCGGAGATGAAAGGTCTATGAGGGAAGCTTGTTAATACCCTAAAACCGAGTTGGGACATCCATCTGGAATAACAATCCCCTGGCAACTTCAACCATATGTTTGTTTTTCCTCTCTAATACCCCATTTTGTTGGGGGGGGGGTATGAGGACAGGAACTCTGGCGAATTGCTCCTTTCTCTTCAAGGAATGTTTGTAAGTGCTTCTCAAAATATTCCTTGGCATTGTCAAATATGATAATTTTAATCTTCTTTTTCAAACTGTGTTTCATTGTCAAATGTGAGGGGATTAGGGGGATTGGGGGGAGTTAGGAAAAGGCCATTAATAAAGGATGTGTTGATTTAAGAGTCTAAATTGATGGAGTTTGATAATAGATGGGCTAGATCTATATGGAAGCCAAGGAGCATTAAATGGTTTGTTTGCCCTTCTTGGGGAAGGTTAGGAGGATTGGTGACATTGTGGAAAGAAGAGGTTATGGAGGGAGTGCAGGAGTTGATTGGAAAGTACACTATCTCCTTGAAATTCAGACACAGGGTGGATAATTTTGAGTGAGTACTAACCATTGTATATGGCCTAACGGGTTATAGACAAAGAAGTGAATTGTAGGAGGAGTTGGGAGATATTAGAGGACTCTAGGAAGGCCCATGGTGTTTAGGAGGAGATTTTAATGTCATCAAATTCTTGGAAGAGACCAATAGTGCTAGGAGAGGTAGTACGACCAACATGAGAAATTTTAATAGCCTCATTAACAGTTTTGAGTTAAAAGAGGTGCCTTTGATGCATGGTGTGTTCACTTGGTCTAATCTTCAGGAGGACCCTATATACTCTAAATTGGATAGGTATTTGTTGAAAATAGATTGGGAGGAGCATTGGCAGGTTGTCATTTCTAGAGAATGTAATCTTAGGAGCTGTACTCGAAGTAGCAAAGAAGAGAAGAGAACCTCTGAAATGCAGTGAATGTCGAACTGTACTTGCCAGTCGACCATGCTATTATTTATATATGAATATAGTACAAGGTACAAGAAATTACTKGGATGCCCYTGATTAGTGATGGGACAYCCARATGACTTAAATCATTAAACAGGATTAGGCCCATTAACACAGGCCCAATTACAAGATAAGTTAAACATAAGAATGGGCTAATAAGAACTCTTATCAGCCGAACATCACTCTAACATTCTAACAGAGAACTGCCTAGGTTTACTTCAGATCATTGGCCCATTATTTTAGTGAAGGAGGATCTTGGTACTAGAGGGCCTACACCTTTCAGATTTGAGAACATGTGGTTGTCTCACCCAGGGTTTGTTGAGTAACTTGAGTTTATTGAAAGTTGGTGGAGTGAATACAGTACAAGGGCTAATTGGGAGGGTATGAAATTTCATTGGAAGTTGAAGTAGCTAAAAAGGAGGATCAAGGACTGGAACACATTACAGTTTAGAAGGATTGAAGAGAGGAAACGGGCAATGATCAATCAAATTGAAGAGTTAGATGCCAAAGAAAAGGGGAGTAATTTTGGAGAAAGGGAAAAGCAAGAAAGACGGAACCTCAAGAAACAACTAGAAGGCATCTTGTACAAAGAGGAAGTTAGTTGGAGGCAGAAATCTAGGCATAAGTGGGTGAAAGAAGGTGATAGGAATACTAATTTATTTCATGCAATGGCTAATAGCAGAAGGAGGAAAAGTTTGATTCATAAACTGGTGGTTGATGGGGTGTTTGTTACTCAGCCGGATGAGATTGCTAGGGCTTTTGCGGAGCACTTCAAGTCGATTTATAGAAGGCCCTTAAATTAGAGAATTTGGGTAGAAGGGTTGGATTGGCCGAAATTGTCCGAGGAGAAGAAGGCTATAAAGGAAATTTGAATTGGAGGAAATTAGGGAAGCAACATTTTCGATGGATAGATGTAAAGCACCGGGACCTAATGGATTCACCATGGCTTTTTACCAGTACTGTTGGGAGATTCTAAAATAGGTTATTATTAAAGTTTTCAAAGATTTTTTCTAGAAGGGGGTAATAAATCTGGGACTGAACTCAACCTTTATTGCTTTGGTTCCAAAGAAAGTGGGTGCAAGTCAATCGAGTGAGTTTAGGCCCATCAGCTTGGTGAATAGTCTATATAAGATAATTGCTAAGGTCCTGTCCAGAAGAATTAGAGAGAGGATGGCTGGGATGCAGGGACTTCGGCAAGTTTGCCTGTGTATTATTTATCAATCTTTAGAATCTCGGTGAAGATATGTAGAATTTTGGAAAAGTTGATGAGAGATTTTTTGTGGGAACTAGGGGAGGAAAAGAAGGATCATAGGGTAAATTAGGAATTGCTCTCTAAAAGTAGGGCTGATGGAGGGTTGGGTTTAGGTAATATTTGAAAGAAAAATGAAACTTTGTTGGGAAAATGGCTGTGGAGGTTGGAAGGTGAAAGGGAAAAGTTGTGGACTAAAGTAATCTTGAGTATTCTTGGTTAGGTAGAGGATGGCTGGGATGCAGGGACTTCGGCAAGATCAATTGTTGCCTCTCCTTGGAAATCCATATATGCAGTTCTACCCTCTTTTTTGCAACACATCAGGTATGACCTTTGCTCTGGGAATAGGGTCAAATTTTGGGAAGAGATTTGGGTGGGTGAGTTATCATTGAAAGAACAATTTCCTTCCCTTTTTTCACTTTCTTGGTATAAAGGCATGGTTGTATCTAGGTTTCTGGTTCCTTCTCAGTCCAATTTTGGATTTGATTGAGATTTGGGGCTTAGGAAAGGCTTAAGGGATTCAGAAACTGAAAGTGTGCTGAATTTGATTCAAACCTTAAATAAGGTGGGGTGAGCCCTTTTCGGTTAAGGAAGTTTGGGGTGAGCGCTGATTCCTCCAAGGATTGGAGCTTTCTGTTGGGAAGCTATCTTGGGAAGATGTAACACATGTGACTTACTCCAAAGGAAAAGGCCTTATTGGTGCTTGTCTTCGAGTTGATGCATTCTATGTAAGGCCAATGGTGAATGCTCCTACCACTCGTTAATTTCTTGCCCTTTTACTTCTATTTGGGAATGGTTTCTTTCTCTTTTTGGTTGTAGGTGGACCCCCCATCAAACATCCAAAATCTTTTTAGCTCCTCATTCTTTAGATGGCCTAAAAGAAGGGGAAGGATTATGTGGAGATGTGTGAGGGCTGCTACATGATGGACTTTCATGGGAGGAAAGGACTTCCAGAATTTTCTCCGAAAAGGAAAGAAGCAAAGAAGGAATTATTGAAGCCATAACAGTTAGGGTGATTGGCTAAAATCTGTTAAACTTTTTGATGATGTGTATACTGATATGTTGTTGAATAGCTGGGTGGAAGTGGCTAATTCTGCTTGGGCTTGGCCTATGGTTTCTCCTGTGTGGTTAGCACCTAACAATGGCTATATAAAGCTAAATTTTGATGGAAGTAGTGAAGGTAACCTAGGCCCTTCAGGTGTAGGAGGTGTCTTCAGAGATGAGGAGGGGAAAGTATTGGCATTGTATTAAGTCTCCATTGGGGTTGGGGATTCTCTGAGAGCTGAGATCTATGCTGTATTGGAAGGTATTAGAAAGAGCAAGGAACTGAATATACAAAAATTAATTATTGAAGGGGACTCAAAGTTGGTGTTGAGCTGGATGCAGAGGGGAAGTGGCCTTTGGAAGTTCACTAATGAAAGAAAGGAAATCAAATGGCTAACTAGGGGATGGAAATACAACTTCAGTGGGTGAAAAGAACAGCAAATGCCTTTGCAGATGCTTTGGAAAAGCAGGGTGTGGGAAGGGTTCATTTGTACTGGGCTGTATTGTGAGCTTGTTGTTGCTTTCTTGGGAGTGTTAAGCCTTTTTAATTCTCTCTGATTGTTGTACTATTGTTTTTATATATTAATATAATGAAATTCTGTTATTGATAAAAAAAATCCAAGAAAAAAATAAAGCAGCTTCAATCCTCCATGAAAGCTATATCAAAATTCCCTAAAAACGAGGTGCATGAACGGGCATCAGGAACACATGGGCGCTGCTGACTGTATGAGCTTCTGACATCAACTAGTAGCATGTTGATGTCAACAGGTTTGCCTGTGAGTGACGACCAACGGCTGATGCTCTCCTTGATCTTACGATGCTCTGATACCAAGTTAAAGTATTCAGAAATAAGAAAAAGAAAAGAAGAGGAAGAAGTGGTTTTGTCGAGAGTCTGTGGTGTGTTAGTGGTCACACCCTGTAATCCTTTCACTTAACATATTGAAGAAAATTACAAAGGGGGCCCTTGAATAGGTGCCTAAATACAAAAGAACGTGAAAGGACATAACTACCCTGACACTCTCAACAAGAAACACATAAGAGTGGACAATTGTTTTATATTTTAACTTTTTAAATAATTACAATTATTTATATTTATATACTACATTTAATATTTTTTGCAATACAATAATAATAATAATAATAATAATAATAATAATAATAATAATAATAGTAATAATAATAATAGTTAATTTCAGCTGGAGTCGTTCATCAAACCGATGAAACCGACCAAATCAACCAACCTGACCCAACTCGACCCAAGTTGGATAGTTTTCTAGTATTTCCGCTCGGCTTTGGTTCAACAATTTCTAAAGCCAATCAGGTTGGGTCAATTTCAGTTATAGCATGAGATGAAGTCTGTATATGTAACATGTACAATACTGTGTAGTTACATTGCAAGGGACTAGGGGGTGCAACTTGGGCAAGCCCAACCTGACCTTGAACTGACCCAATCTGCATTTTTGCATAGATTGAGCTTCTATTTTCAGTCCTTGGGTTGGGCTTGAGCCAAAAACCCTAGCTTTTCTACTTATGGTGTTGGGCTTGGCACTAGCCTCTAGGTAGCTTTAGCTCAACTTAAACCCAATTTGACCTTATACTAATACAGGTCTAAACCAATTATAAAAAATCAACTTTTTAGTTACTTTACCTAACTTGAAACTAACATGATTATTAATAAAATAACAAAAAGAAGTAAAATCTTAGTTTCAAAATTAAATCTTATAATGTGATATCCATTTAAATTTCATTTAACAAATAAGATGATACTACAAATTTGTTGATAAAATTAAAAATTAACAAAATTATTAGTTTTAAACTTAGTTATTATTAATTTATAATCCCCTAATCCATTAGGAATGTCACAATTCTCCTTCTTGGGGTGCAAGTTGTGTGAGTTGGGTAAGGTTAATGGTCAACCCAAGCCCAACCTAAGTCTCAAACCTCGAGTTCAGGTTTGGCCCAACTCAAGGTTATGCCCGAGTTTACCAACCCAACCCTAACCTAAACTTAACCCAACATCTCGAGCTGGGCTTGGGCTTGGACGTGTTTAGCTTTTGTAGCCCAATTTTCAGGTAGAATAGATTGGTCATATGTAGATATTTGTATCATAAAATGTTGGACGGGCTCAAATTGAGTAGGGTCGGGCTTGGGCTACTCGATACCTCAATCCAACCCCAACCTAAGTTTAGGTTAGGCCTGAGTTTTTTGGCCCCAGCCTAGCTTGAAGTTTGAAAACTCAAGAGTCAAGCCCAACCTATGCAAAAGCTTCGATTAAGCCGGATCAGGCTTGGGTTAGGCCCATCCAAGTTGCACCCCCATCTCCTTTTGCCTCAAATTCTTTTAACAAAGCCTGTGCATCGCATGGGTCCCCACTAATTATATAATAATTTGGACATCTAAGACAAGTTTCATGTAGGCCACACTAGACGGAATTTGTCTCTTTCATATGATAAATGATAAGAATGATACTTTAAGGCTCCTAAAGGTTACCTGAAGTTAAATTTTCATGGAAGTAGTGAAGACAACCTAGGCCCCTCTAGAATAGGACAGGTGTTGAGAGATGTTCATGTCATTGCTTTGTTCTCAGGTCTAGTAGGAATTGGTGATTTTTTTAGAGCTGCAGTGGTTGTGGCACTGCAAGGTTTTCAATTGTAACTGGGAACTTTTTTGTAATATTGGGGGAGGTAGCATCTCATGCCTCCCCAAGGGTTACTTGTATTGTCGATTTTAAATGATTAATAAAGCTCATTTTCACTTATAGAAAAAGATAATTTAAGGCCCCTGTTTCTCAATGTTAAAGTAATTTGTGAAACAACATAATTGACTTTTGGCATCACATTCCTAATAATGCTTCACTTTTTAATCATTTGTGGGATGCATCATTTTTCTCTTGGTATTTCCTTCCAGGTCCTTGGAGATGGTTTGATGAATGTATGCTAGATTGCTGTGAATCTTTGGAAAAGATTAAATCTGAGGGCATTTGTCTTGGAAAACTTGCATGTTTGGCTCATTTTAATGGAGCAAAAGTTGAAGCTTTCAGGACTAACCAAAGCACTATAACTGATTTCCTTAAATATGTCATGACATGTACTTCTTCTGAAGATTGTCTTGTGATTACTACATTTTATAGACCACATCTCAAGCAGGTAATAACCTTTTCTAATTTGGAAAATCAATTGCTTTATAAATTCTGTTTAGTTCTTAACATTATCTTTTTACGTGGGGATAATCTCTGGGTATGTAGAAAGGCAATTTTCTTTTTTTTTAAGTATCCAGATGGACAACTATGGATAGGGCATGACTTTTCAAGCCACTATCTAGGCTTTTTAGGTGACTTGTGTAGTTCTCATTTATATACTAATTAAATGTATGACAATGTCAAAACGACTTCTTGGAGTATTCAATGTTTAAGGCATATGGGGAATGTGATTATTTTGGGAAGAAAAATTGTATTCAGGGACTTGAATGTAATATCAGCTACAATGAGGGGTTCTTATAATTATAGATGTTTTAATATTATATAAAGTCTCTAATTAGAAGAGACAGAATTGGTATGTAGTATTGCTAAACCAATGATCTCTATTCTCATCTCTTTTCTTCTATCTTCTCTTCTCTCTTATCTCTTATTATTCATGACAAGGTGATACTTGAAGAAGAAGAAGAATCTAACAATGATAAAGGTATTGATAGGGATCAGATCTATAAATCAACTTTAAATTTGTTAGTTAAATTCCTTGTGTGAAAATTAATCTTTTCTTCATTTCTTATTCATTGTTCTTGGTCAACCTTTATTTAGTACTTTTTTGGCGTATGGAGTATTAGTATTAATAGATTTATATGATTCTGTCATGGTTTTAAAAGACGTTTAGGTGTGTCGTTAAGGCACACAACCCACAAGGCAAGGCAGAGCTAAAACACCTAGCTTCAGGTGCCTTACCCCTCTGCTAAGAGGCTACTACTTCTATTTTTGAGAGTCATGCACCTCATTGCTTTGTGCCTCAAATTGGTGAGGGGTAAGCCTCATATAAAAAGTATTAAAACTGAAAAAAAGGAAAAATATTATAAATTAATTATAATACTTATTAAAATTTAAGAAAATTGATTGTTTAATCTATAAATAAAACAAAACAATTTAAACTAAAAAATTTCCCATAATACTTATTTTAACTAAAAATTATCTAATTTATTTTTCTCTTACTAAATGTACATGTTAGAATAGGGTTTCTAAATTCTAACAGACCCCCTGGCTGGTTTTAATTTAATTCTTCATCATTTATAAATTTGATTATATTGAAAAAACAATTTAAACTAACAAGAAGGTATTGGTAGAAGAGGTTAATGAGAGTTGAAATAAAAACTCCTTCAAATCCTGAAAATCAAAAGGATCAAATAATGGTCAGCTTGTTCATGGTCTCTTTGTAGTAGGTCCGTGTAATAAATTAAGGAGGATGAATTAAAGGAAGAGGGTGAAGGTAAAACCATAAAAGTCAGTAACAACATGGGGGTTGATGGAGAATTCGCCTCTAAGCAGGATAATGAATTGTTGAAGATGGGGGATGGGATTCCACATTACTTCTCGAACACATTACAGTCAAGGTTTCAGATTCAGAACCTGTAGGATAAGAATTTGAACAAGAGGAACAAGGTTCAGAGAAGCAAGAAAGTGGTGATGATTAAATCCTTGATCAAGTGAGATCAAGAAGAAGATAATTGATTTGGAAGAAATAGGTTTGCAACTTGGGCGGGCTCTGGTTGGGATCTTGTCAAAATTTGAATGGGCCCTTTCTGAATGTCCGATCCTGAAGTAATGTAAAATGATAAGTTGGGCCAGCCTGAGTTGTACTCTTAGGATGAAGTCATTGATGAGGAAGTTCAAGTAAGTAAAATTTTGTGTCTTCTTTTTCTGGTTAAGGAAGATTTCGCAAGGAAAATCTTATGATCTCGTGGACCAGGAGTTTTTTTAATCAATATCTTGAGTAGCTGTGGGTTTGGAGAGCTTTGGTGCAAATGGATAAGAGGTTGTTTGCAGTCTACTCATTATTCAATTCTTGTCGATGGGTTGGTGGTGGATTTCTTTGAAGGAATTAGAGGGGCCTTAGACAAGGTGATCCATTGTCTCCTTTCTTTTTTACCCTGGTAGCCAAGGTGCTTAGCAAGTTGGTCACTAGAGCTAATAACATGCAGCTGTTCAAGGGTTCGTCAGTTGGTGGGAATAGATTTCAAGTAACTCACTTACAATTTGCAGATGATATTCTAGTTTTCTGTGAAGGGATGGTCAGATTGGAGTGAATTTGAAGCTGGTAGTGAATCTATTTGAGAGGGCCTCCAATCTGAGGATTAACTGGAATAAAAGTATTTTAGTTGGAGCCAATGTGCATGAAGATTTGTTGGGGGAGATGGCAACTTTTTTAGGCTGTGAGAAAGGCAATTAGCTGATCAAGTCCTTAGGGCTCCCACTTGGTGATAACCCCAGATCATTAAACTTTTGGAACCTAGTGGTGGAAAGGTTTGAGAAGAGGCTTGTAGGATGGAAGAGAAATTATATTTCTTTAGGAGGGAGGATAACTCTGATCATGTCTACTTTAGCGAACCTTCCTATCTATTTTATGTCAGTTTTTAGGATGCCTCACGTTATTGTGAGAAAGTTGGAAAAATTCCTGAGAGGTATTTTGTGGGAACCTGGGGAAGGAAAGAAAGATCACATGATCAGGTGGGAAAAGGTGTCAAAGTCAAAGGCAGAAGGAGGGTTGGGGATTGGGAACATTAGATTGAAAAATCAGGCTTTATTGAGTAAATGGCTTTGGAGCTTCCGAAGGAGAATGATAGACTTTGGCACAAAGTGGTAGCAAGCATTCTGTTGGGACCCAAACACACCCTCCGAACCCAACTATAGGAGTGGAGCAGGCCACCACCAAACAGCATTTCACTAGAAGACAGAGAGGCTAGCATGACACGCGGCAGGCCTCCCAGAGTTAGTTACACTGCCACCAGAAAATATTCTCTCCATGATTGCATACATGTAGGCCAGCTATATAAGGCCCTGTTCATGTAATAAGTGGCGTGAATGAATATCCCTTTCATCTCTCTCTCAGTCATTTTCTTCCTACCTTTCCCCTCTCTTCCCC